GAACAGACATAATCAAACCGAATCTGAAATGTTCATGTTATTTTGTTTTGATAAATGCTTCCGAGGGATTACTTTGTTTGCTAACTTCACCTCGATTTAAGTAATGTTATATCTATAAAGTAATATCTCTTTTTAGGAATATGTAAAGTTTAACCTGTCACTATTAAATTTAAAAGGTTTTGGCTGGTTTTCAGTGAAGAAGTTATTAAACGTAATGTTTATCTTTATTACATTAATTAAAAGAAAACTTTGCCCGATATTAAAAACATAAATAGTTCTGCATGAATTCAAACAGATTATAACGTAGTATGCTCAATAAACACAGGGACGGAAGGATACTGTTTGCGTCCAAAAATTAATTCAAACACACACCTTTTTTCTAATGATGCATACCAAAAATAAATGATACATTTTATTCTTCCGATAATGTTAACCACATGTTAAATCCAGTACAGGGTAGGCGAATAAGGCAAATACTTTTCATTTCTAAATTATATCAGTTTAGGGTAGGAAATAGGTTTGGTTTTTAAAGAAGAACAAAGTTATCTTGATAATTTGTATTATTCTGTATTATTCTGTTTATGCGACAATCTCATAACACTAAATTTCCAAGTTTTGGTACTTTGCTAAATAAACAACTTAACCCCTAATATGTACATTGTATGTTTGAGTATATTCGTACGCATAAAGAGAGAAATTTCGGTTTTGTATTATTTCGGTTATATCTTTGTGATACATGTTTACGAATGATTCAAATTAGTTTCAAAAATTAACACACACTCAATACTTTTTATCCTCCGCTGCCATCCCTCCGTCCGAATTTCGTTTCCGCGCAAGTTTACCTGGGGACCATACGCCGCTCTTCATGGAATGACACTACTGTGTCACATTGAAGGTTCCATGATAACCGCCGTATGAACACATCTGCGGATGTTTCTAAATTCAAAATTTCACCATTTTCGTGTTTAAATGTTGAATTCTGCTTAAGCCGGTGCTAGGGGGCGTGGACGGTAACTTGTACTTTCCATTACCGTCCATGAACAGGCTCAATCAAACCGAGCCTGCAACATTTTACAATTATGTCGTGTTGGGCTTTCTTTAGGGATTCTGTTTTTCAATATTTATCTGCATGTACTGGCTGGAGTTTAAAGAAACTTTATTGGAACCTTCAATACCAAGACGAAATGAGCATATCGTTGCCATGTTCCGGTCCGACCCTTCAGCACAGAGTTATGGCCCTTGGTTATGCATATAGGGCAAAAATCGTTTCCACACTACTTCTCTGCACCTACTGGCGGGAATTCAACAAAATTTATGGGAACCCTCAATACCAAGAGGAGAAGCGCATATCGTCGCCTTGTTCCGGTCCGACTCTTTAAACCAGAGATATGTCCCTTGTTTTGTTATGCAGCATGTATAAAGAGAAATAATCGTTTTCGCGCTACTGCTCTGTAACTACTGGCAGGTGTTCGATTAAACTTTATTGGAACCATCAATACCAAGATACGATGCGCATATTGTTGCCTTATTCCGGTTCGACTTTTCGTCACAGAGTTATGGCTCTTGATTAGTTATGCGGTATGCATTTGGACGCTACTTCTCTGCAATTACTTGCAGGAATTGAATTCAACGACACTGTATTGGAACCACCAATACCAAAATGAGATAGGCATATCGTTGAATTCCGGTAAAATAGAGAACCCTTCAACACAGAGTTATGGCCCTTGAATAGTTATGCAGTATACATATAGAACGATAATCGTTTCCGCGCTACTTCTCTGCAACTACTGGCTTGAATTCATTGAAACTTTATTGAAATCATAAATACCAAGAGGTAATACGCGTATCGTTCCCTTGTTCCGGTCCGACCCTTCAACACAGAGTTATGACCTTTGATTAGTTATGCAGTATGCATATGGAGCAATAATCCCGCTATTTCTCTGCAACTACTGGCAGGAATTTAATGCAACTTTATGGGAACCATCAGTACTTAGAGAAGGTGCTAATTTTGTTGCTTTGCTTAAGTCAGGCCCTTCATCCCTAAATTAGTTAATGCCGTAAGCATAATATATAGAGCAGGAATCGTTTCCACTGGAAGGAATTCAATGAAACTTTATGGGAACCATGAATGCCAAGAAGAGATGGGCATATTGTTGCCTTGTTTCGGTCAGACCCTTCAACACATAGTTATGGCCCTTGATTAGTTACACAGTATGCATATAGAGCAAAATCGTCTCAGTGATATTTCTCTGCTACTATTGGCAGACATTCAACGTTACTTTATTGGAACCTTCAATACCTAGACGGGATGCGCATATCATAACCTTGGTCGCGTCAGACACTTCAAGACAGAATTGATTAGTTATGCAATATGCCTATAGAGCATTTATCGTTTCCGCTCTATTTCTCTGCAACTACTGGCTGGATTTCAACGAAACTTTATGCAAACCATCAATAGTAAGAGGAGATGTGCATATCATTGCCTTGTTACTGTCAGACCCGTTAACACAGAGTTATGGCACTTGATTAGTTATGTAGTATGCATATAGGGCAATATTGCTATTTCTTTGCAAGTGCTTGATCGATTTTAACAAAACTGTTTGGGAAAAATCAATACAAAAAAGCAATTTGAATATCATTGACATGTCCAGATATTAATATTTAAGACGTAGTTAAGGCCTCTGTTATTGTCCATGTACAAAGAATATTACTGTTTATGTTCTGATAAATTTATAGATAAAGCCTTATGTCTTCAGTTGATGTGTTAGTAATAACCAGTTCTCGGCGGGGGTATAAATTCAACAAATTTGCTTGTTTGTCCTGTTTCGTCATTGCCATGTTTTAGTTTATGGTGGATACTCGATTAATCTGTATGAATAAGAGATAAAGGGTTCGATTAATCAATATTTGATAAGTTATTTAATTCAGATTATTTTTTTATAATTATGAAATAACTTCATTTGATAATAATTATATGTTGTATTCCTCACGTATGCTTTGATAAGGTACTTGTATACAGTTATCACCAAGCATCTGAACGACGGCTGATTTTATATCTCTATTTAATCTGTAGTCCGTGAAATATACCTACATGTTTCATCATTTTTGGATTAAATATGGAATTAATTACGACGTTCTTTTTGTTAAAACGAATATTTAAACAATATCCAATAAAAATTTGACCAATTGAAGTAGAGTTTTAAATTAATGAAATTTCATTCAGCTGTATACAAAACAGTTGGGTAAAACTACCACAGTGCACAAATCAAATTATGAATTATATAATAATTTTCGATTTAATGAAGCTAATAAATTGAAACATTAATTCACCTGTTTTATAGTAATCAAGACTACACACAACTGGACAAAAACAAGAGAACTGGTCAATATGAGTTTGAATCAGACACAACCGAGAGACGCAACAGTAAGAAGTAAGTTTTTTATTCTTTAATCATTAAAACTATTTTATTATACTCTTTATCTCTTGAAATTAGCAGCCAGATTGAAAATATCACAGGAATATTCATGTTGTGTACAAACAAAATTAATTATCTTATAATTAGAACAACCGCATGTTTCAACATGTGTAAAAAATATTTTCCTAATTAATGTTCATTTTTGAATTCTTGCTTCCATCATGCCCATAACCTTTAGAAACCAAAAATTGTTCATTATTCTTGACTGCTTATTAGTTTTCAAAGTGCACATTGTACTTATAAGGGTCTAAAATCATCCGGTATTTTTACTTATTCGTCTTCTCTTATAAGATATTAACTTGGAAAAATATATTCGTTTCAACGAATGCAGGTCACATTTTAATACTTATTTACTAGGCGATGTTATAGTTTTGAAATACAACTTTTAATGTAAAAATCATTTTAAATAAACTCAATGTAACAAGGCAGTACTCTCACAACTATGAACTTTTAAATTGTTTTAATGTACCTGCTTCAAACAGTCGAGTATTTTTCCATTAATTCCAAGTGTTTACTAAATACATTGTAATAACCTTGAATATAATGCATCAAAGTGTATCGTTTTATCCCCTTATAGAACAGGAGTTTGACAAACGCTGAGCATATGTTGTAAGATTCTTCAGAATTAGTTTCTCATTGATGATTAATAACTTGAGAAACATATTTTCAAGTGCAATAGTGTTTTGTTGCAAATCTATGAGTGCATTGGCTTTTAATTCATTATTTGCGTCTTGACTTTAAATCAATTCTTTGTTTCAGAAACATTTCTTTGTATCTGAAAAAAGTAACGAGTTATTAAGCGATAATTTGTCTATTAATAAATAATCTTATTTTTAAATATACTTTGAATGTTTTGTCTATTCAGTTCCTGCTTGAAATAATCCACAAAGGTGCATCTGAATGCTTCCTCTATGAATAATGTGGAAAGTCGCTGGTGACGTTAACAGAAACGGATTGACTTACAACGCCAACAACAGGAACACAGAATTAAGAATAAATATTTTCTTTTAATTAAAGAATTTCAATGTTTCATATATCCCAATAACTGAGAACGACTATTATGCTTTATAAGATGAAGAAGGTTATAAATTCTTGAAGAGTGCATTAAATTTTAACGCAGATATGTTGCTAACTCATTGATTTTAATCACAGCAAGTGCATGACTCACATGAATTGATTTGATGTCAGAAAAGGCAATTTATGTTCGGTGAAACGCCTTGCGAAATGACAAATAAATTGATTGTATAAATAATGCTTTGATGCCCCCTGTATTTCTCTTCAAATAACGCCCGTATTATTATGTGAGTATAAAAGAAACAGTTTTTGTTTCTCAGTCTTCCTATAATTATGATTTTTCTAGTATTTTAGGACACATGTATATAAATAATTATACAAATGTATTTAATTAAATATGTCTTGGAATCCGTAAATCATGCCTAAATGTTATTCCTTTATACATGTACAACAAGTTCTTATTTCTAAGGAAAGAGCCTTCCTGATTCTTATAGTAAAAAAAACTCAGAGTATACAACAATGAATTTATTTTATATCACAAGGAACATATCAAAATTACATATCATGAGGTATCATATGTTCTCATCACGGAAGCATTTCTGGAAAACGATGAATTAAAACAGTCCTCAAAATTATTGGCCTCATAGCTTCTTTGACTTTGATAGTTTAATCTCTGTGCAGGTCTCTTTGTGTTAAAGTTCAATTTGTATTTCTCTGCCGGGTACTTAAGTTTTACGGCTCCGTGTCTTGCTGTTCCCGCTCTTGTTCGAATAGGAATACACCGGAATATAAGTTGTTTTAAATCCGCCTGAAAGATAACAATAGACCATGACTGCAGACAAGTTAGTTTAAGCAAAATGTATTCAGTTTAAAAATTGTTTAGCATTTTTTAGAATACAGTAATTGTATATACAAAAACGATGTACATTTTCATTTTCTTGTTAAATTTTATCAATCAATCAATCAATTAATTGTAATACATCCCAAGACTAAACATTGTTTTTATTTACATATTTATAAGATTACACATGGTAAACATAAGTTAATAAAAACAACAACTTACTCTAAAACTGTCGTTGAGTGTTCCATAAACGATTGGATTGACAAAGCTGTTAGACATTGCTATCCAGTGACATATAAAGTAGGTAAGGCTAAGAGAGTCGTGGTCCAGTTTTTCTGTAAAGTTTAGCACCAGAAAGAATGTATGAAGTGGAAGCCAGCAGAGAACGAATAACACAACAATTGTGATCAACATCTTTACGATCTGAAATTATAAAATCATACTTGTAATCACAAGATAGCAAGTAGCAAAGAAAATCTCAACTTCAAATGAACCTCAAAATGTTTCCGTTAAACAAAGTTATTATCAATTCTAAAATTCGGTCATAAGGTCATTAAAGCTCACATTGTATACTATTCTAATTGACTCTCGTTATATATTTTGAGTGCAGTTTCACCGAACGAATTTGTATCATACATGTATATAAGAACATTATTTTTGTTTTGTTTGATATTTGTCTATTTATAATTACTTATAGCTTTTCTCTTCATTTGTTATAGCAAACAGTAGTATGTATTCATATTGAGTCAAAGTTATATTTTTTTGGTGTAGTGCATATATATTTAAGCAAGCTTAATGCTACAAAGAAAAACAAAGTAAGAGATATTCAATTTATCATTTTGTTAAAACCCAACATAAATTAAATCTTTATTGAATTTATTTGAAAAATTTACGTGAATATTAGTTGCTGTACTGATATAGGTTCTCACTTCAAACTGTTTTATTCTGATATTGGAATCAAAAATTAATTTATAGTCTCCTTGGAGAATAGTCAAAATGAGAAATGCCAAGCTTAAAATATAGTTATTGGCTGCATCATATTAAGTTAAAAATTATCTAGTTTATAATTCCTGAATAGAAGTCATTTTCGTAACACATTATATAACTTTTGTTCTTGACATGATTGACATATATAAATTTCAGGGATAAATTGGATAGATATTCAAAGCATTTTATAATTTACTTAAGAAACAAGTTATCAAATTGCAACTAATGCTAATTAGATATAAAAAGTCATGTCAATAATTGATAGTTTTTCGTGTTTTTTTTTTATTTTTTACTATTTAATTTGATACATCTGTTTATCTTGAGGTCTTTACCATTTTATATAGTATTTTAACGATTTTTGACAAAACTTATAAATGCATTGACAGGATGATTAAATTTGAGTTGCTGCCAAGTGCGATAATGAGATAGAATAAAATCAACAAATGAATACGATTATAAAAAAAATTAAAAGAAATTCCTGATACCAAACAGTGAGAACAAGTGATAAAAGATTAAATCAACAAAAATGATAATAGGAGAGTTAAAATGAGCATTAAAATCGCATAAAATGCATTAAAAATGGGCAGAATTTACGTGTTTTATATATTTGCGCAAAATGTTCAAGTAAACATCTGTAGAATCGACAAATTGGTATAATACAGGAAGCCTGTGGTTGCAAATAGGGATAACAAAACCATTTCTTTTACTTGAATTTTGTTAATTAATATTTAAAAGCAAAAACGTGTGTTTATGATTTCAAGTAAGGCCATGACCTTGAGCAAATTATGCTAGTGATAACTTTCATTATAGCTGAAGTATGTGCAAATTAAGGATCCTGTAACACATTTTTTCATGGTTTTATTTCATAAATATGGTGCTCAAATTAAGATTTGTCAATATTGTAAGTTCAAATAAGCATTATTTATAAAGATATTACCCAATTTAGCATTTCATGTAAATAAAGGGAGGTAATAAGAAATTTATTTTCTATAAATTCTAAGTCAAATTTTCCAATAAGATATGAATGCATATAAATTATTGATTAAATAAAATGTGCACAAATATTTGCAGTACACATTTTACATATTCTTCGATGTTTGAAAATTGTTATATTTGCATTATTATATACATATATAATTTTTTGCAAGTGTGGTATACACACAGTAACAATATCAATCACATAACATACTGGATCTTTAAAAATCAATGGTATCGTTCTTTTCCACAGCTACATTTTACTAAAATCTCTACCTTCTTTAGCCAAAACTCTTCTCTGACCTCACTGTTACACGACATTATATATCATTATTGAACTGTTATTTAGCAATAGAACTAAGTGTTTTAACAGAATGACATCAGTCCCTTAAGAATACTTAAGAGCATGTAGTAATATTAACGCAATAATAGAAAGACAACAAAGAATCTTTTAGTACCAAATGTCACGATGAGGCATTCTATCAGTATTTTTATCCATGAAGACAATTTCTTATATAAAAAAGCAAGTCATACTAAGACACAAAGTCCAAAAATGATTTAATATACAAATTCGAAAATTGCCCTATCTTAATACAAACTTAAAACGATAAAATTCTTTTTTACACATGATAACATTTAACCGGATATCACAGATCTATCAATGCATGCGAAATGGGTATAATTTGTCTAACGGTCAAAATGATGTAGAGATAAAGTGTGAAATGTCTGACGTCTCCATCTTTTAAGACTAATGTAACCTATAGGTAATTTTAGCTTAATTGACTGTTAAAAATATAAAACAGGACATAGAACAAAATTCTACATTTTGCTATACCCTTACCAAAGGAACTTTGGAACAGGACCGCCTATTCCGGCGCATAAATCCTAATCCGTACCGGCTTTACATATTGTTTGTCAGACCTTTGAATATCTTTTCATATTATGCGAGTGGGTGGTCTTTAATTAAATAATATAATTTAATATAATCTGCTAATTAAAAAATCAGTCAAATTTACGGCATATTGAAAAAAGAAAAGGAGTGACATCCGCCATTTACCACAACTTTCGGCGTAAGTTATCCCCCTTGATATGCTTGATTTTTGTTTTAATTTTTCTAGTACTCATTTTATGTCACTCAATGCATGGAAAACTTTCACATTTCCTTGTAATAAATACCAGATGAGTGCCTAAAATATTTATCTATGGATCATGTTTTAATATTATTTTTTTCAGTTACGCAATATCAGTTGGACCATGTTACTGTTATAGTCTAAAGTGTCTGTTTTCTCCATGTGAACAAATCAAAACACGAATACGCCCGTTATATGGCCGCCTATACACGTCATCACGTGTAAACAATAAACCGTGAATGTTATATCCAGACGATACCTGATTGTTAACAACGATAACGGGAACAAAATTCTTTAAAAAATAGTAATCAATTGTAGCCAAAGGTGCAAAACTCATGCCGAACGTTGTGGCAAATGGCGGAGGTCACTCCTTGTCTTTTTTTATAATACCTTAAAGTTTGACCAGTTTTAAAAGTAACAGATTGGGTTCAATTGATAATATATTTTTGAGGCCATATACTCGGATAATACTGTGATATTTAGATGTAGCTGAAACGTTTTTAAAAACCGTTACACGATCGAAAATATGCGCCGCAATCTGCGGTCCCGTTCTCGAGTTCCTATGACCCTTACTTGTCCTTTGGATCTGAGGTAAACATTTATTCTTTATGGAATATAAGATTCAATTGTACCTTAGTTAATTTGTCTTTTGCTCACGTAACTATCTTTGTTCATTAGTATTTTAGACCCGTGTTTCAAAAGAACTCACCGTTAAATTATATTACAAAAATAACCATTCGTTTCCCGTATGTAAAACAATACAATAATTTCTTAAAAGCATTGGTAATACTGAAGGTTTTTACAACTGTTACAATTTTATCCTGCCATACAATTATTATTTAATTAGCGGGTGATTGCCGAAATATCGAATTGAGTCAAAGGTATATTTTCGTACAGGATTCCTCATTAAAAGTGTTAGATGAATTAACAGAGTTTCGTATATCAAAGACAAAAAATTGGATCAGTATCAAAACTAACTGTGTATCAAATTTAAAACTTGTTCATGATAAACTAAGCATTAGCAAATGTACTTGTTAATGTATTTACTGTGCTTCACATATTGGATTTTGTTCAGTGATGCAACCGAAAAAAACAAACAGTATGTTTCAACTTGTTAAACATTTTTGTCTATGAATGTTTTTCATCAATATATTGGTTTTAAGCTTAATGTTTGCCGAAGTTATGTATTTGATATTCTAACGAAATGATGTTTACCTTGCGTTTGGCATGTTATCAACCGAAGACAATTGTTTGTACTTTTGCTCAACATAATTGATTTCTTTTAACTTAGATAAATATGTTCTTTATTTTACTGGTATCAAACGATAATTTTATACCGGCAATCAAGTAATTGTGTCGAACGAAACATTCTTTGTATTTATTGCTGAACATTGCAAGCTTTCAATATTAATAATAGTAAAAAATAAGTTCAATTTAAATGCAGAAGACATCATATAAATGTTAATTATTGTATTGACACTATCTTAGGCAATAACTATATACAAGATTGATAAGTTTTGGATAATATTTTTTTTGCAATCATTTATTTGGTTCATTTTGTATTTGCAAATCATGAAAGGGTTAGAACACTTAACATTTAACCATGTGAATGATCGAATACGGTGGTAGAATTAACTGATAAAATAAGGAGGCCTTTAAAATATGTAAAAAATGCAAATAATAATACATGATAATTAAAAAATGACAATATATATGTTAGCAGTTTTAAGTAAATATGATTGATAAATCATTTGAAATAAATGGAAAAACATAATAATTTACAATGTATATATAAATATATATAATATATTATAATACATTTCAGGCATTTTTTTCAGATTCTCATAAGAATGTTATTTTATTATCAATATGTTTCTAATTTTATTTAAAATTCTGCCGTTAAGGAATCGTTGATTTTGAACTCATCGGTCAGGTTGCTCATGTTAGGTATAAAAGCCTATGATTTTTGCCAGCAAAACAAGAACAGATACGAATTACCTTTATTTGATACATATATATTAGTAAGTACAGTAAGTAAGTAAATTTTATTATAGTGACATTGTGCTAATAGCACAATATAATAAACATACATGTAACAAATTACAACACTCGGCCACGTTGGGCCTATAAGTCACTTTAAACTATATACAAATATATATATAAATATGTACCCTACTTGACAATACATTGCACTTAAAGTACATTGGTCTTCTATTGGAACATATTTCATATGTATTTAACATATTGATGCAAGCAATAAAAAATAATCACTTGTATGATATTTAGATATTTTTGAAAGTAATATGATGAGAAATAATATTTTGATCTAGT